GGAGGAGGAGGAGGTGAAGGAGCAGGAGGGGGAGGAGGATGAGGAGGAGGAGAACCAGTGTAAACCCAAGAGTCATCACCGATGTTGGAATAAACCCTCCCTTCAAGCTCCCTCTTCAGAGGCCCCTGCAACGGTTAATTTCCATTGATGGAACTTCCTTGTTGGAAGACACCCGTTTGAAGACCCTGAAGCATGCCAAAACATTGTTGTGCTCGGGATTCCAGCGCCACGGATCAGCCTGGCTGTTGCGTCTTGACGATCCCGGATCATGCCAGAACGCCATGCGTAGGACATCAGCAGAGAGAACCAACGTAACTGTTGCACCCGCATAATCCTGGATCCTTCCAGAATACCATTCCTGGTACGCTGATGATGGGAATCCGTGAAACTCTTGCAATGTGTAAAACGACTGTGCGCCGCACTGAAGCGAGAGCCCTCAATCCGTGAAGCTCTTGCACATGTGACAAGCGAATGTGCGCCGCGCTAAGGCGAGAACCACCTTGTGAAAACGACCCGCCCTCGATCCGTGAAGCTCTTGCAAATTTCAACAACAGATGTGCACCGCGCTAAGGCGAGAGCCACATTTGAAAACGGCCCACCCTCAATCCGTGAAACTCTTGCAAATTTCGACAACGGATGTGCGCAAAGCTAAGGCGAGAACCACATGTTGAAAACCAACCGCCCTCAACCCGTGAAAATCTTACAAATTTCGACAACGGATGTGCGCAACGCTTAGGCGAGAGCCACATGTTGAAAACGGCTCGCCCTCAATCCGTGAAACTCTTGCAAATGTTTAAAGCGATTGTGCGCCGCACTAAGACGAGAGCCACGTTTTGAAAACGACCCGCCCTCAATCCGAGAAACTCGTGTATGTTTAAACGAATGTGCGCCGCGCTAAGGCGACAGCTGCATGTTGAAAACCACGTGCCCTCCATATGCCAAACTGTTGCCAATATTTTAGCTTCAGAGTCATAAATGGTGAGGAAGTGTCAAGCGAAAAGCCCGGCCAGCCCTAAAAACTGGCTTCGGGGTGCGACAGGGAGAAGCTACTTCTAGGGAAAAGCAATGGTGGAGGAGGAGGAGGAGGAGAGGAGGAGGAGGAGGAGGAGGAGGAGGAGGACGAAGAGGAGGAGGAGGAGGAGGAGGAGGAGGACGATGCAGGACGATGCATGACGGGCGACAACGACAGTCGACGCCGATTATAATCAGGACCCCGCTGGATGGCGCTCGTGATCTTTTCCCGGCCTCCCGCAGGGCGTCGCATCACTTATCACTTTGCCATTTACGCCACCAGCGGGGCCCCCGAAACTGGGCAAAACCAGACGAGTTAGTAAGCGAATTGTGAGATCTCTGCATCACGGACATGCTGCGGGGGCCCCCCCACGTGCGGGTATAAACCTCGGGCGATCCTCGCGAGATTTTGCGCACCCTTGGGGGAGGCCCTGCATCTTTCAACCAACCACCTTGGGTCGGACGTGGCGGTCTTGCCACACACCGTGCAAAACGTTAAACCAAAACGGCCCCAGAAGGAAAGCTTGTGGCTCGCACACAGCAATTTCCCCGCGACGGTCTGGGGGCCGCGGAGCGGTGAGATGCCCTGGCCACGGGGCTTGGGGCAACACCTAGAGAGGCACCCAGACCGAATGGACTCCCTGGTCTCGAATTGGGAGCAAACCGAACAGAAAAACTTAGAACCCACCTTCCGCCACTGATGCTCGCTGGCACGAAGACTCCTGGTCAGGATGGGGAGCCGCAGGACCCCTGGGGCCACAGGTCGAGACGCGGTCCACGGATCGGCCAGGATGCTCGCGACAAGAGCTCTCCGAGCTCGACGTCTGACCAGGGCAGCCTCGGCATCGCGGCGGTCGGTGTCGGGATTCGCGAGGCCGCAGCGCCTGCTCGCTTGGGCGCCAAGGCCCGCGAGTGCGTCGGCACACGCGTTGCCAACAGCATATCGAAACGCTTCCTCAGAATTCACATCCCTAGCCTCGACATGGGCGGGGATCCAAACCACACGAATTACTCTGTCTCCTGCTGCCTCCAGGATCCTGGTCCAAAGGTCGACGTTCGCAGGAGGAGTCGAGGAAGCGAGGAGGAGCGGGACTCCGTTGGACCAGGCCCGGGCCAGGGCCAGGTGGTCCGTCACATATCGGATGTTCCCTGGAATCTGCTCTAGGGCGGCGAGACAGGCAGAGAGCTCGGCCCTCGGGACCGTCTGGACCCGCCCACCAAGGGAAGACGAAAAACCGAAAATCGGGTCCAGGCTGCCAGGGGAAAGGGAAACAAAACCGAAACCAGCGCGTCTGCGGCGCCAATCACTGCTATGCTCACCGCCCGACCCATCTCCAAAGATCTCAGCAAACCCCTCCTCGTCACGTGGGATTGTCGAACAGTCCCCGAAGCTGTTCGTGATGGGTGGGGTCTCGTCGAAGACAGGTATAGCGTCGGCAACCGCAGGGACGCCTCGAAGCCAGAGGGACGGGGAGGCCTCGAAGTTGGCGAACGCCTGTGCGGTGAGGAATTCGCTGTCCGTGTAGTCGTCATGGTCGCAGTTGGCAGCACATGTCCATATTCTGTGGAAGAGCGATTCCTCCTGCTCTCCACACCTCGGGCATGTGGGGGAGACTTCGTATCCTGCGGCCACCATTCGCGTGCGTGTCCACTGGCCGCCTGTCGTAACCACCGTGTTGAGTGCGATCTCGCTGTACTGCTCCCTCCTGGCGAGTCGGCGGTTCTCCTGCTTGATCGTGCTGAAGTCGCCTCCACTGTGTAGGTCATCACCTGCTTCGTGCCTCGAAGCCCGAGCCCAGAGAACTCTGCCCACTGAGCTGTTGATGTCGCTGAAGATCTCCGAGTAGTCCGCATTCAGCTTCTTGAAGTCCTCGTCTTCTCTTGCAGGAATGAGCCAGCTCGTACCTGCGTCCGTGTCCCACTGGGTCGCCGAGATCGGATCCCAGTTGATCTCGAGGAGGGTGGCAATAGTTGCCCCCACTGGACCACGGACGATCCTCCACTTGCGTTGGCCAGCCTTGCGTATGCGGTCGAGGATCTTGTCCCAGGATTGCCGAATCCTGTCGTGGATGCCTGGGCACTGGCGCCACATGGTCAGCCACGCTGCGATCTGCTGACGCCTGATGCACTTGGCAGGGTCGTCGTCTCCGTACTCGATGGCCAGCGCCGACGTCAAGCATCTTCCTGGCCCCACGCCAGACGCGGCTGCAGCAGCTTGGCGTCGGAGGCGCAGCACTTCATATTCAGTGAGCCCGTGATGCTGATGTGAGTAAGTCCCAGACGGCATGGCACCTGTTCTCCATAGACCTTGCGATTCTCTCTTTAATCGGGCGATTCTCCTGATTCTGTGAATGGCTGCCGACCGCCTGCTAGCCTTCATCATTCTCCTTCGTGCTGTGGCCCTGGCGCGAGCCCGTCCTGATGCAACGTCGGCCCCCAAGTCTGCGGCAGCCTGGGCCGAAGTTGCCCGAATGCCCTTTCTCCGAAGTGCTCGGGCCACTTTGTTGGCGATGCTGCTCGTGCTGGCGACAACGACCGTCTTGGGGCTGATCGTGAGGCCCTCGCGTTGCATGTCGTGGCCGATGGAGGGGCCCGCTTGGACCAAAGTGGTCTCGACGTTGTAGGCCGTGCCCTCACTGCGAATGATCGCGTCGTCCACGAAAGTCTTCATCATGATGTTGAACTGGTACTTGTCATAAGCCCGCTGGAGGATAGGGCCCAACAGTACCTTTGCTAATTTGCCGCCGTGTGGAGAACCTGCCACCAGTGACTTCTCGACCTTGATCGGCCTGCTGATCCACTGGCGCTCCTTGAGGTATCTGGGGGCAAGGAAAATCTGAAGTTCCATCGCGAGGATGACTGCGGGGAAGCCCTGCCTGAGTCCAGCTTGGCAGAGCTTTGTGATAGAGATGCTGTCGTAGAACTTCTCCAAATCAAGAAGGATGGTCGCGCAACTGATGCCCATGGTGAAGCAGCACTCGTCCATGCAGGCTCTCGCCAGCGAGGCTTGCAGCGGGCTGCTCCCTTTGATGGCTGTGTCCCAGAATTCGCCAAGCTTGTCGCTCCACCTCTCACTCAACGGGTAGCGGAGCTTGGACCAAACCTTCACCGTATATGGAAGCAACCCCAGGATCCTGTCACCACCCTTGGGCTTGGGGGCGACCGCACCTATGACCGTGAAAATCTGATGGGGCCACATGAGGTGGTGCTCGCAAAGGTTGAGGACATCCACCATCTGCCTACGTCCTGGCTCTGGGAGTCGTTGCACCTCCAGCGGGCCGAGGTTGTCGATTCCTCTGGCCTTCTTCGGGTTCTGCTTCGCCAGCAAGTGGTCCAGGTGCTCCAGCTCGATCGGGTGCACGTCCTCCGTCTTGGCTTGCTCCGTGACATACTTGAGGCCATCGAGGACGCCCCTGTGGTCGGAGCTGGAGTCGGACCAGATGTTCTCCCAGAAGTCGGCTCTGCGATCCATGATCTCGCACGGTGTGGCGTAGGTGCTGCCCTCGTCACCAAAGTGCTCGTCTCGTCGAGTGGTAGCTGGCTTCACATGTCGGTGTAACGCACCTGGAGCCTGCTTCCACATGCGTGTGACCCAGCTTGCAAAAGCCCGCCTGCCGTTGGCGAGTCCAGTACCCACCGCACGGGCTTGAAACCTTAGGCCGATCTCCAGGAGGGCCTGTAGCGAGTCGATGTTCTGTCCGTCCAGGTCGGCGATGGCCTTGGCCCAGTCCTCAAGGGCCCTCTCGTCATCTGGGTCGTTGTACTTGTCGAGGAAGTTGTTCTCAGTGGCAACGTGTAGCAGCCCCTGCATTTTTTATTGCCATGCGCTTGTAGTCCTGCTCTGCGAACTTGCGCCTCATTAACTGATATCTGGATATAATCGTCGTTGCCAGATGCCGCCATTCCAAGATCGGGCCCCGCATATGTGCACGGGCTGGTGTGGCACGGGTCCTTCGCCAAGTGATCCCATGCTCTCTGGCTCTGCCTTCCTACTTTTTCCACTCGGACTCGGGAATGTTGCGGTGCTTGAGCGTGGCCTTCTCTACTGCCTGCACCCAGTCGCCGAACGCTTTCGCGACCTTCTTCTGCGCCTCAGCGTCACGGGTCAGCAGGAAGCGGGAGGAGGGGGGGAGTTGTCCTGGTCGGCGTTCGACTCCTTCCTCACATGTTTGCCCTTGTCCTCTCCCAAGCCTGCCACCGTGGCGGCTGCCGCGTGCCACGCCTCAATCGGTATGTCGAAGGTGACCGAGTCGTTGCTGTCTATGTCCTCCGTGGTCGGCCAGTTGTGGAGCTCTTCGTAGGCGTCCTGTAGCTCCTCCTGGAGTCTGGCCTGCGCCCGCTGGTGCCGCTCGGCTAGCAACTTCTGGCGCTTACTGTTCGGGTCCGCTTTCTTGGCTGGTCGCCCCGCCGACGGGAGCTGCTTGGGCATCCACATAGCTCTATGCCACCAGTGCTGCTTCCCCGCACGCATGGAAAGCAGTAAGCCCACGTGGGTCTTCCACGGGACCTCGGGGACGGCTTCGAGCTTGAGGGAGCCGCCGAACCCGCTCTTGCAGATCCCGTAGTCAATGAGGGACCCGCGCCCCAAGTTGCAGGTTGTCTTCGTGTTCTCTGGGAGGATGAGCTGGCCGCCAATCTTGCGCAGCCACTTGGTTCCCCCCCATGCCTCTGGTGGGTTGTTCCAGTCGGCGAGGACAACCCACGGGTCGGATATCACTTTGATGAAGCTGGCTAACCTGATCATCATCTTCTCGTTGGGGCCCTTCATGCCGTGCTTCGGCTGCACGCACGCGGAGATAACGACAATGTTGCCAGCCTTCGTGTGCCACGTCGTGGGGCAAAATCCTTGGAAGGGGTCGGCTGCGGACCGCTCGATCTCGCGCTTGCGCCACCCCTCGAACGTCGCGGTGGCCAGTGAACGCTTGGATATGATCGCTTCGCCGCCCGTCGTGCCTTCAGCAGCTCTGCCCGACGGCACTGCGGCGGTGACGGCGGCCTTCCAGCCGTCTTTGCTGATCTTCTCTGTGAAGTCCAGGACCTTCACGCCTCGCAGGTGCATCTCCGCGAAGCCTATCGCATCGTACTGCTCCGCCTGAGCTTTCATGAATCCCTCCGCCTGCGGGCCCCACTCCGAGATGTTCGAGAAGAAGTACGTCGCATCGTAGTTCTCTGGAACGGGGGCACGAGTACACGACAGGCCATCTGGTGGGAGGGGCGGCTGAAGGGTGTCACCTGGCCTCGGGTGGCCTCCTCCTCCCAGGCCGATGGGTAGGTCAGTCACCCTCGCTGCGCGGCCGCAGCTGCAGCTCTGGGCGCGCCGTCACGAGAGCTCCTAGCACCATTGCCAGTGCCCAGGGGAGGGAAGTCGCCCATGTTGGCCAGCGTGGCCTCCCTGGCGCTCGCGATCTTGGCGGCGATGTCGCTCTCTGAGACGGCGATGGCGGGGCCGTCCTCCGCAGCAGGTGCCTGGTCTTCGTCAGGGCCTTCAGCTTCGGCTGCGCCAGGACCAGGGACGGGACCGTCCTGACCACGCTGCCGTTTCGCTGGGGCTGCGCGGATCTCCTTGACGCTCTTGAGCGCCTCCTGCATCGTCTTCTGGAGGTCCTCCACCTTCTTGCAGTGCTCCTCCACCTGCTTCTGGATGGCCTTGAGCTGGGCCTTCTGAGCGCCATCGAACTCATCGCTGGTTGCGAAGTCGAACTCATCCATCGCGAGGTATATATTCTTGCCATCCGCAGTGTAGCCGTCCTGCGTCTTGGCGGCGCCCGTGGAGTCTGCGAGGGCCTTGAATGACCGCCAAAGTGTGGGCCCGTTTTGCGGAGAGGGCCTCCTCCGCCGTCTGGTGGAGCCACAGCTTGGCCTCCTGGAGAGCCGTCTCCAGCTTGATGACGTCTGCCGAGGCCTTCTGAAGCGCCACCTCCTTCTTCTCCGGGGTCTGGCTGCAGCGGTACACCTCCTGGTTGGGCGATACTGGCTTTGCCTTGCTCGCCTTGAAAGAGGTGTCAGCCTGGCGGAACACGTCGGCGTGCTCTGCGAGGGCGGGGACGTTCGAGAGGATGTTGAGCATCTGCGAGATGTCGGGCTCCTTGGACCACGGGTGCGTGCCTTTGCCGCTGCCGTAGTACCACGCCGACTTGTCCTCGCCCTTGCCGCCCTTGTAGCTGTGGATGCCTTTCTTACCTTTGCCGTTGCCTTTCGCTGCTGCAGCGTCAGGCTTGAAGAGTGTGACCTGCTCCCCGCACTTGCCACAGAATCCGCCGTTGTGCAGCAGGCGGAAATTGTAGGTCCAGTTGCCGCAGGTACACCAACAGAATGGGCGCGGCGCCATGACTGCTTGACAGGTCGATAGGGAGCTCTAACCCCAGCTACGCTGACAGCTGGGCGGTGCGATTCTCCCGAAATCACCGAGAACACAATGCTGCTCTGGCAGCTCAGATTTTGGCACGGAGGCGCGGAGCCCCCGAGTGCGGGCATCTTGAGCCAAAATGGCTACGGAGAGGAGGAGGAGGAGGGGGAGGAGGAGGGGGAGGAGGAGGGGGAGGAGGAGGAGGGGGAGGAGGAGGGGGAGGAGGAGGAGGAGGAGGAGGAAGAGACAGGAGGAGAGAGGAGGAGAGAGGAGGAGGACGGGTCGCCTAAGCCCTTCGGAGAAACCCTCCATCTGGGGCCAGCCGCTGGCGGACTCTGCCGTGCCCCGACCAACCTCCCTGGGAGCCCGCGCAGGAGCACTGGCACCGCGTGGAGAGTTCCACCTTGAACGATCGGCAGCTTTTCGATCGCCCGATCGTTCCATATTCGGCGATTCTGTCGGGGGGAACGAAAGGGGGGGATAGCAAAGGGTAAGGTAGAGTATCAACTCACGTAGCTGATTTTCCATGCGCCTCCCTGCGCCGGGAGGCGCCCATGTATCCAGGAATGGGCCCGGCGGCGGGGCCGAAACCAGCTGCATGCAGCAGAGTTCGTACCCCCCCCTTACCTATTCCCCCCCTTACGTCCAGCCCGACTCTGGGCCACTGGCGGCGTGCAACCGTGAGCGCCCGCTGCGGGGTCGCCGCCGCGCCCAAACGGCGCAGGCCCACCGCAGAGGCGGAGGGCGAGGACTCGGCCCAAATCCCTTCAGCAGTGCCGCCAGCTCCTGCCCCCCCTCGGAGCGTCGGACCCCCCTCTAAAACGACGCGAGGATCGGGACAAAATCGGATCGGGATAACTCGAAATCTCTGAGAATCGGCGGGCATGGAGGATGTTATTGGGCGCCGCGGCCCCTCCAGAGCGTTCCGGAATGCTCTGAGAGCGCTCCGGAACGCTCTGGAGCGATTTATCCCGACCCTAGCCCTGTTTTACCCTCGGCCCAGCTCGGGAGCCCTGCGCCCATCTCAAAAACTCCCTCTGGCCTGCGAGCCGCAGCCCCCGGCCCGGACCGAGGGGGGGAAGCCCGGGGGCCTCCGCTGGCCGCGCCCGGGCCGCCCTCGCGCTGCCAGGCCACGGCGCGACGCCGAGATTCGGATTTGGATCGGACGACGACGACGACGACGACGACGACGACGACGACGACGACGACGACGACGGCGACGACGACGACGACGACGGCGGCGGCGACGGCGGCGGCGGCGACGGCGGCGGCGGCGGCGGCGGCGGCGGCGGCGGCGACGACGGCGGCGGCGGCGGCGACGGCGGCGGCGGCGACGACGACGACGGCGGCGACGGCGGCGGCGGCGGCGATGGCGGCGGCGACGGCGGCGGCGGCGGCCGACGGCGACGGCGACGGCAGCGGCGGCTGGGGGAGCAAAAACAAGATCAAAGACACGCTGCCGCGGGGAAGCCATCACCGTGTTACTCACTCTTGACGGAAATGCCAAAAACCTTCTGACAAGAACGCAGGAGCAACAAGCAGACGGGCTCTCAGCGGCAGCGTGTCATTTCCCTGCCGAGGCGGCGGCGGCGGTGGCGGCGGCGGGGGCAAAGGAGCAGCATCAGCGTGCCCTCGAGAAGTTGGCGAGGGCGTCGCGGACCGCCCGCGCATCCTCTCAGGATGCGGGGGGGGCAGAGGGGCTCGAGGAAGGGGGAGGGGGTTGCTGGGAACGCAGAAGGACATACTAGTGCTATGCGCACCCCTTGGAGGCGCACGTCCAAACCGAACAGCCCGAACAAGCATGTTGTAGCATCTCGTTACCCAGGCGGTATAGCGAGAAAGCGCCCGCTATCGAGCATGTATCTTTAGAGTTCTGATCGCGCGCGTGGCCCCTGGGTGTCGACGCGCACCTTATATGCATCCCCGGCAAAGACTGAAGACAGACTGGGCAAAACGTTGACAGATCGACTGAGGCCCCTGATGCCCCTGAAGCGTTGAGGTTGGCCTCGGTTTCGAGTATGCTCTTGTAGAAGAGGAACCTAATTACGCCGTGCAAGCTATGCAGTGCAGGCTGTAGGATGTAGCCCATGCGGTGCAAGTTGTGGACGCAATGTCTGCAGTGTAATTCACTTGGCAATAATGAAGTCGGCAACCACAATGCTACTGCGCACATCCCAGCATCCACCCAGCGACAACGACGACTACGACATGGCCATGCTGATGATGGCGATGCCGATGTGGCGATGAGAATGGCAATGATGGCGGGCTGTGGCGGAATCGCGCGGCAGCGCAACTTGATACAATGCACCAATCGTGGCCAGGCTCAAGACTTATAAAGTCGAAACGCGGTCACAAGAACGATGGTCAACAACATGAGACACCTGACCGAAGGCCCAATACCCCAATGGAGATATGCCACCATGCCCTTGACACAAAGTGGAGTGCCCCAAGGCTCACAGCGACGCTGTTGCTGCTGCTGCAGCCAGGATTGGGACTCTAGATTCTTAAGCGCCCCGAGCCCCTGTTTCCCAGCGGCTCCTGGGAATTTCCAGCAGCTCCTGGGGTGTGTCGTGTGGCCCTGAGGGACCGAGGAGCCGCGAAGACGGCCGAAGAGAGCCTCGAGTCGCCTCATGATCGCCCTCAGATCCTCAAGATGGCGCGAAGACGGTCCAAGAGGTCTCCAAAAAGGCTCAAGTGAGCAGTGAGCACCATGAGCGCCCCCGAGACAGCCCCGAGAGGCCCGATTCACCCCAATCCCTCATGAAAATATAGATTAGCTTTGAATATTCGCTTTGTCGGGCCTCACACAATTCCAGGCTGCCCAAGAAGCCTCCAAGATCGTCCCAAGACAGCCCACAAGGCCCCCAACATCGCCACAAGACAGACGGCCCAAGAGGCCCCCAGGACTGCACAAGAGGCCCCCCAAGGCGCCCAAAGAGGGGCCCAAGAGGGGGAACCAAACTGGCACTTCGAGCCCTTCTCCCCCGAGATGGCACTTGAGGCCCCCGACACGCCCGTAACAGGCCCCGAACAGGCTCAAACGAGGTCCCCAGGAGGCTCTAAGGAGGCCTACAAGAGGCTTCAAAACTGAATCCAAGAAGTGCCCGAGAGGCATCGCAAGACACCCAAACCTGCATCCGAGAGGCCTCTGACCCACAACCCAGGCGCGGTGGCGGGATGGGCCGCAGGCCATTAGATACCCCAAACGGGGAACAGAAGGGCAACCCTACATAACCAGGACTGTCCAGAATCCTCGCAGCAGCTGCACACCGATCTTGGGCTCAGAATCGACCTCGAAAGGATGAATACAGTGTGTGTAGTTAGTTTTATCCTGGGGACAAGCACGCCAAGAGTGCTGCCACGCACGAGCCTTCCGTGCTCCACCCCCGAATCCTGCGGGTCCACGCCCAACTTGCGCCACTTGCTCTCGGCGTCCCGGACCCTGTCGGCGCTGCTCCTGGGCTCTCGGAGGTGAGGCGAGGCGAGACCAGTACCAACAGGAGGAGCCTCGTCCCCGTTAAGACGAAAACAAAGTATGTAAAGGTAACACTGCGCAAATAGAACTCGGAATATCAGTACGCTGGCGGGCTTGCGGATGCATCGGGATCCGCGGGCGCTCTGGAAATCCAGAGCGCTCTGGAAATGCTCCGGACCAACGGGCCAAGGGCGTGCTAAATCGCGGGTAAGATTTAAGAATGTTTCTAATTCGCTCGCGCGGTCCCCAGACGAAAAATACTCCGGCAAGGTCACGGAAAAATCCCGGCTAATCCCTGGCAGGTCTGGGCCAGAGATGCCGGAACTCCTGGGCGCGGCCAATGGAGCCCCTGAAGCGCCCCAGGAGCGCCCAAGGAGGCGCCAAATAGGTGGCAGGCCCCACGGCCTCAGGCCAAGAGTGCTCCAAGATGGCCCGGATTGGTCTCAAGACGGCCCACGAGGCGCCCAAGACATCCAGGAGGGCTTCAAGACGACCCCAAGAAGGCCCGAAAAGGCAAAATTCTATGATATTACTAGGCGTTGACAGGTTTTGGCGTCACCGCTTTTCCAAGCTTCCGACCGCCCAGGACGGCCGAGAGGCCCCCAAGATCGCCCCAAGTCAATCCAAGAGGCTCCCAGGACGGCCCCAAGACGGCCCAAGAGGGCCCTAAGACGGCCAAAGAGGCCTCCCCAGAGAGCTCTGGCGGCTCCCATGAGGGGCCAGCAGGCCCCCAAGAAACCCTCAAGAAGCCCCCAGAAGCCCATAAGTATGCCCCAATGGGCCCCCAACAGGCCCCAGGAGGTCCCAAGAATGCCACCAAGAGGCCCCGAGAGGCCTCACAAGAGATCCCAAGAAGCTGTCCGACGAGGCGTCTTGTCCGCGACCCAGTTTGGTCCCCACGACGCCCCAAGAAGCCGTCGTGAGGCCTCCTCCTCGTCCCCTATCAAGTCCCCTTATCCCCCTCCTCACCCGCCATAGGTATGCCAAAGGTGCGATATGTGCCGGCGGAATGAGCGAAGCCATTATGAGGCCCCAAAACTAAGAGGCACTGCTTCTTTCTGCCTCTCCGTATCCCCCTTCAGTTTCGTCCGCTGTATTCGACACCGTTGGGTGGCGTTGGGCAATTTTCGGAGCCTCTTGGAGCCATCTCGGGGGCCTTTCTTGGAGCCTTTTCCGCGTCTTTTTGGAACCTCTCGCGCCGTCTTGGACCCCTCTCACAAACTCTGCGCTCCAAAAACGGTGGCGCGGCGGTGTCTGCGCCCTCAAGAGCGGCCAAAAAATTCGGCTGGTCCCTTGCGGACCCTGGCCGTGATGCGGCATGCAAGGGTAGATGACGAGACGGAGGACGATGGAGGAGAGCGAGGCGGCACGCAGAAAAAAAGGCCTGCTGAGAGCTTCCTCGCGCGCATTCCGCAGGGCAGCCGCACCCCGCGGCACTGCGGGCAAAGCGGTCCTTCTCCGCCGAAGCCCGCGCCGCGCCCGCGCCCGACGCGCGCGGCGCGACGCACGACCCCCAACCTCAGAGATCCTCTGGGGGGGGCCTCGAAGAGCCTCTGTGCCGCACCCCGGTTCTCCTCTCGGGCGCGCCACAACGCGTGGGCTCTGGCGCACGCCGGACTGGGAGGGGCGCCCGCGCCTCCAGGCTCCTGGGAGAGGCAGAGCGCTGGACGACTGGCACTGTCGAGTCCCCCTGGGAGACACGAGAAGCGCGCGCTGTGACCTTCGCGGCCACAGCGCGCGCTATAGATGGGGGAGGGGCGGGGCGGGGGGCAGAACGTAACGACCCCCCCCCCCCGGCCGTGTGGGTCCGGCACCACAGGCGCAAGTGCGCATCTCAGCGAGCACCACTGTGCGCAGCACTGCATGCACCGCCGCAGCCACGTGCAGCACATCGCCTATGTACGGCCCAACGCATACGTACACCATCGTGCAGCACCACAAGGTTTGCATCCTCCGCACTCTCCTTCGAGCACTATTCTGTGCTGGTACTTTCTGCCGCTGGGTTGCGCCTACGTTACACGATCAAGGGTGCTACAGTACTCTGGTTCTACCGCCTCCAGAACCGAAACATACCACAAAAATTGTCTCAAATCTGTAACGCCTTGCCTGCTTCCGATGCGTGCTGCACGCGTGAACAACAGTGCTTGCGTGCACGAGAGCGCCTGCGTGCACCACAGCAACCGCGTCCACCACAGAGTGCAGAATGCTTTAAGAATACAGCTACCCACGATCTAGGAATCCAACGCAAACTATGACAGCTACTACGACTCCGCTCCCGATAACCACACGGCGACGACCACGATGACGACCGCGACGACGATCACGACAACTATGACGACGACCGCGACGATGACGAATACTACGACGACTGCGACTGTCACGACGACGGTCACAACGACGACCACACTCCGACGACGATCACTAAAACCAAAATGAGCACGACGACAGTGGCGATTTCGACGACGACGACAACAACAACAACAATAACTGTTCGCCCCTATCTGCTAGCGTGCCAATCAATACGTATATCCCAAACCCTCGGTACACGCCCTCGTCATCTGTGATCGTACCCCCTTGGGGGTATATCTTCCTTGCCTGCCACGTGGATTCAGTGCAGCCCCTTAAAACAAGGGAAGCGAAGACAGGCGGAAGGGAGAGGGAGAAGCATGGAGCACGAGAGAAATTAGCAGGAGGGGGGCAAGAAGCAGAAAACAAGTGGTAGAACCAGAAGGGCAGATCGGGTGGGCAGACCCATGGCGGGCAGGTCGGGAAGGCGGGCCCAGGCGACCAGGTCGAGCAGGCGGGTTGCTGAAGAGTGGGTCCTACATGAATCGCGCGGAAGTCTAGAGCGATAGCGCGATTCCCAAGTAAATCGTGAGAAAAGGCAAAGCGAGAGCGTGATTCCTGAGCGCCGAGGACACATCGTCTGAATAAACTGCAAGGAAGTCCCACGCGAGAGCGCGATTCTTGTACAAAGTGTGAGGAAGTTCCGCGCGAGAGCGCGACATGAGAATACACTGTGAGGAAATATCAGGCGGGAGCCGTTGTTGTTGTGAACTGGGGGCCAACAACGCAATTTGAGCCCCGTGACTTCCCCTGAGAAAAAAGTGCGAGCCCCAGGGGAAGCACTTGAATTGAAAAAAATATGGTCACCAGAAGGGGGGTCAACAATATGTGTTCTTCAATGATGCGAGTGCAACAACAACAACAACAACCACAACAACAACAACAACAACAACAACTACTACTACTACTACTACTACTACTCCTACTACTACTACTACTACTACTACTACTACTACTACTACTACTACTACGACTACTACTACTACTACTACTACGACTACTACTACGACTACTACTACTACGACTACGACTAACGAACTACGACTACGACTACGACTACGACTACGACTACGACTACGACGACTACGATTACTACTACTACCTACGACTACTACTACTACGACTACTACTACCCATACTATACTACTCTACTACTACTAACTACTACGACTACTACGACTACTGTCACTATCACTACCCACTACTACTAGACTACTACTACTACGACTACTACCTACACTACTACTACTACTACTACTACTACTACTATACTACTACTACTACTACTACTACTACTACTACTACTACGACTACTACGACTACTACTACTACTACTACTACTACTACTACTACGACTACTACTACTACGACTACACTACTACTTGACTACGACTACTACTACTACTACTACTACTACTACTACTATATACTACGCTACTACTACTCTACTACCACTACTACTACTACTACTACTACTACTACTACTACTACTGTACTACTACTAATACTACTACTACTACTACTACTACTACTACTACTACTACTACTACTACTACTACTACTACTACTACTGCTACGACTGCTACTACTACCATTACAACAGCAACAACAGCAGCAGCAACAACAACAGCAATAACAATTCGCCGGCCCAACGGGCCAGAGGCGTGCTAAGATCTCCGGTAACTGGTTAACAATTTTCTAGTTCGCGCGCGCGGGGCGGCCCCTGGGGGTCCCCGGACGAAAAGTACCCCGACCAGGTCCCGGCCGGGTCCCCCCGAGCGCTCCATGAGCGCACCAACAGGGCTCCGAGACGTCCCCGAGAGCCCCAAGAAAGGCCAAGAGGCCCCCAAGAGGCCCCCAAGATGGTACACGAGGGGTCCGACATGCCACAAGATCGCTCCAAGACGCCCAAGATAGCCCCCAGACGCCCCAAGAGGCCTCCAAGAGCACTCCCAATAGGGCCCCCGGAGGCAAAAATCATTGTTTTTCCATAGGTTTTTGAGAGATTTTGGAGCTTCCACCTTTTCGGCTTCCCGACGCCCCAAGACGGCCCAAGAGGCCCCCAAGATCGCCCCAAGAGGGCCCAAGAGGCACCCAAGAGGGCCCCAAGATGGCCCAAGAGGGCTCGAAGACGGCCCAAGAAGCCTCCAAAACGGTCCAAGAGGGCCCCAAGAACGCCCCCAAAGGGGCCCCAGAGAGGGAACACGAAACAACATTTCGAGCCCTCGGCCCTAAGAAGCCCCTACGAGGCCCCTAAGAGGCCCCAAGAGGCCCCCACGGGGCCCTCAGGAGGCCCCCAAGAGTCCCCCAAGCGGCCCCAGGAGGCCCCCCAAATGCCCCCCCGAGCGCCCCAGGAGTCCCCCAAGCGGCCCCAGGAACCCCCAAAGCGCCGCATTGACACCAGGCCCTCGGGCAAACGGCAGACATGAGACTGTATGGGCCGGCGGAATGAGCGAAGCGATTAAATAACAATAACAACAACATCAGCAACAACAACACAACAACAACAACAACAACAACAACAACAACAACAACAACAACAACAACAACGACGACAACAACAACTACTACAATAATGTTAAGACCGTTCGCCCTTATATGCTCCAGTGTCCAATAACGCGTATTTCCCAAATCCT